TTACTTTTGGGCATGTGATTCGTAAGGGGTATTGCAGCATACCTGTGTACAAAAATTGTTTATTTCTATGGGGTGAATTTTTATGTGTGGCCTTTGACAGAAGTGGCAAGTTTCTTTTGCTGTCCAGTGTATATCCAGTTACTGTTCTACGTGGTCTTGTGGAAGCATGCTTGACAATAGACCGCGGAATAGCAGATGTAACCATAACATTTGTTTCATCAAGATCAATCTTGCAGCTTGACGACGCTGTTTTAGGGTATCCCACCCAAGCTTTGTGATCATATCGGTCACACCTCTTTACTAAAGTAACTTGTTGTTAATAAAGCGTGCTGCACGTCGTTGGACTATCTCGAGCTTATTGGTGTATTAAGCCTCGAAGGGATCACGTACTACTGAAGCGTACTCCAATCCAGGTGTGGACGAACAAGTGCTAAATAAGCATTTGTTTTCGCCATTTCGAGCACTGCTTTTGCGGGACAGGAAAACTCCCAGATACTGGTGATGGTCCACGGTTGCCAGAGAATGATTATTCAGTTTATAACTATTGCAAATCTTCTTCCTTTTGTTTCCCATGTGCAAAATGTAGCATTTCTTTATATTAAATTGCATTCGCCATGTAGTAGCTCATTCATGGAGCTTATCAATATCTTCCTGAAGTGTGATGCAGTCAGCCCGCGGGTTGTAGATATTTCTATATAAAATGCAATGGTCAGCAAAAAGACAAATTTGTGACTGCAGATTGTCTGTGATATCGTTGATGTAAGGCAAAAATAAAAGGGGCCGAGGACAGTGCCTTGAGGCACACCGGAGTCCACAGAATCCCAATCAGAACTAGATCCATGGAACACCACTCTGTTTACGCATCTGAAGAAAATTGGCAATCCACTTCAGAGCTATTTCCACGTATTCCATACATAAGAAGCTTAGCTTTCAGGCGCTCATGGGTGACAGTATCAAACGCTTTGGAGAAGTCAAATATGGCTATGTCCATTTGTTTACTAGCATTTACAGCCTCAGCCCAGTCATTAGTTGTCAAATATAGTTGGGTGACACAAGAGAGATGCTTCCTGAAACCATGTTGTTTAGTAGTCAAGATATCATGCCCTTCCAGGTGTCTACTAATATGCGAATGAATTATATGTTCAAGAAGCTTACATGATATTGAAGTTAAAGAAACTGGTCTATAATTTGAAGGAGTAGCCTCATCACCTTTCTTGTATAGGGCAGAAACATTTGTGAACAACCAGTCTTCTGGCAGTTTACCAGTACAGAGAGATTGCTGAAAGATTTGAGACATGGCTGGCGCGACCTCCTCAGCAGCTTCTTTCAAAAGCTTGGGGCTAATATCATCCGGGCCACTGGCTTTAGTAACGTTGATTTCTTTGAGAAAATTCAACATCCCCTCCACTGAAACAGTGACATCCTCCACAACGGGTATGTCAGATAAATTAAAAGGAACCTTATCTACATGTTCTGTAGTGAAAACTGACTGGAGTTGCTACGCCAAAGCACAAGCTTTCTCTTTATCAGTAACGTGATTGACTCAATCAGTTCTCAGAGTGGGTAGGCCTTCTTGGTTCTCCGACCTCTTGCTTTTAATGTTTTTCCGAAACCCTCTGGAGTCCTCCTTCAAGTTGTCTACCACCTTGTTAACATACTTTTGGTGTGCATATCTAAGTTTCCATTTGACGAGCTTTCAAGCCGCCCTAAATCTCTCCTATCGACCTATATGACTCCGATTTTTGTGTGATTCTATTTGTAACTCTAATCAATCTTCTGATCTTACTGTTGAACCACGGCACGTTCTGCTGCGGTTTTGACATCCAAGAGGGAATGTGCAGATCTCTAGCAGACAAAAGACTGGACTTGACTGCGGTCCAATTTGCTTCAGCAGATCTTACACTATGAGCCTTAGTGAAGTTATCTTTAAAGATCTTCCCTCACTCCATCAAAGTCTGCTTTTGAGTAGAGAGAAGTTCTCCGACGAGGACGGGGCTTTTGCTTTGGATTGGTCTTGAACACACAAGAAATTGCTTCATGATCAGTTATGCCAGGTTTAACTTCAATATGCTCAATGCTATTCGGAATTAAACGAAATAACAAGTCCAGGATACGGCTATATTGGTTGATATGTTGACATAAAAAGTGCTTATTGGCAATGTCAATAAGATGAGCTTCGGAAGGAGTCGCTGTTTGGATTCCATCATCCCAATTGATGGTTTTGGCATTAAAATCCTCAGTCGGAATAATATTTCGAAACTACGTGGATTCTGCAAGATCTTTTGAAGCGAGGAATCAAGACTCATCCATTCGCTAAGTTTACTGTTGGGCGCACGATGGTAGCAACCAATCAGGAGTTTCTTACCAGACTGCAGAAGGATTTGAGCCCAGATAATCTCTGTATTTGAGTCTGACTCAGGGCAGGGAATACTAGCATACTCATCACGAATAGCAATAGCCCCTCCTCCATTCAAGTTACGATCCTTTCTGTAAACAGCAAGATTTCCTGGAAACAGCTCTGGTAGAAATAGTACTATATCTATATGAGTTTCTGTGATACAAATCACGTCCGGTTTTCCCTTTTTTATAGTGAGACTTTGTTCTTTTGCTGCAAGTGCACGTGGATTTTGCAACCACTTGGGATTCACATGTGGAAAAATTTCTTGCTTGATCCAATTCACGCCCATGTAATTTGTAAGGACTCGAGACCCAACTTCACAATCACTACAGGAAGCAAGTACAACTTCCCCAATGGTGTGTAGAAATTATCTCCACTTAGGTTCAAATTGATAATTGAGCCACTGAAGTTCAGGAAATTGCATAGAGGGCAAAACCAAGTGAATTGCGATTCAATTTAACAGCTATGATACTCGTTGTTGGAGACATCATAGCATACGATATACATGTACATGTATGTGACCAATTCTGACATTTATCACACTCAAGAGCTTAGTCTTCATCCCCTGCTTCTTTGCAACACATGGTGCTTGGGAAAATGAGCGTGGTAACCACAGTTTTAGTCCCCTTGGGGCCAGGTTGTATCTGCACATCGCCACAAATAATGATTAACAGAAGTTTAACAGCAGTGATGACCCTAGGAGGCCGAGAATTGAGCATCATGAAAGGTCTATTTAAGTACAATAAAATATAAATAAGTCTATTTTTAAATATCAACACGTTCACGCTTTCCGAGGCTGCAATCTGGCTAATAGCACTGCGTTTTCAGTAACTGTTGTTCAAGCAGTACTGAGACAAGAACTGTGCATTGTGCAAGAACTCACGGCTGCATGCAGGCACACAAAGTACATGTAGTTCTCTTCAAGCATGTAATTAAAAATCAGCAATTCACTGGAAAGTTCGGGTGTGAAACAGCAATGCTGCTGGATCTCAAAAATTGGAGAGATACATGTCCTACCTTCAAGTTCAAGCTGGAATTTCCTGCCAACATGGCCAATGAACACAGCGTGCATACAACAAACCACCTCCAAGCAAGCAGTTCCATAATAAAGAATAGTGATGTAACCAAAATAATTCCCAACAGGTCACTGAAGATCCAGTACCGTGGACAGTCAATTGACAAACGTCGAAGGCAGATTTGGCAAGATGGTGACAGAGTTATACAATACGGATACAAATAGCCAGTACAAGTACACACGGGTTTAAAACCCTCCGAAGTCTAAAAACTATCAAAATCGGCGAAGTTGACATCAACTTGAAAACGCATTTGTGCAATCACAAATCTCCAGACAACCAAATAATCGAGCAATAAAAAGTGGGTGGCAACCAACAAATATTTTTAAAGTAGATTTTTCGTGAGCGACGTGTCCACTCCGCCTCCCCCAGATAAGGGGGGGGGGGAACTGAACTGAAGGACTATGCATCTGAACTGAACTCATAGTAATAAGTGGACACAAAAGAGTACGAGCGTCGTGTAGTTCTGTGCGTCGCCTGGATGGAGGCTATAAAGAGAGAAATCTTTGTCATAATAGTACACCATACGGGATCTCTGTATGTGAAATATGGAAAGACTGCGTAGCACCGTGATCAGAATATTAACAAGAATAAAATATAAAATCAGTGCTCTGGAACATGTAATTGCCGAGCTTTTGGTTACTGAGTACCTTCTTCAGGGCTGAGCAGATTGAGTGCTGAATGAACACAGAAAAAAATCCACGTTCATTCCCCCTGGATGCAGCGATTCAGTTCGAAAATGACGCGCTGCTCCAGTTCCTTAAGCTGTATATCGGATATCGACAGGAATAAAATATCAAACCAGTGCTCTGAAATATGTGATTGCCGAGCTTTCGGTAACTGAGTACCTTCCAGGGCGAGCAGATTCAATTCTCATGAACGCAGAAAAATCCAAACACTACACTACACCACATACGCGCCCATAGAAAACAGTGCAAAATCGGACCGAAATAGCGCCGCCTGTTGACTCGCGTGAAGAGGTTGGCCTCCGTTTTTTTCACTGGAAATTCAAGATTATAGCCAGAAGATCACTTTTCGTTTCAATTTCATGGGGGTTAGCCACGAAAACATTTCTTATTCGCCTTTGAACGAAGATACTCCCAAAATAGCAGTAAAACTAAGTGCTCATTTCTGAATGTAGCCGCCAGGCCGCCTCTATCCAAATACATGTAGGTCCGCAATTTGGGGCTTTTTGTGAAAGAAATACCCCCAACTGGAAACTATCAGTCCTAAATTCGGGATTTATAGAAATATTTCTATGATGCCTCCGATGATTATGGCCTGTCTTACTTTAAAAATCCTGTGGGATCACAAAATATTAATGAGCTCGCGTGCAGAAATACAACCATTTGGTGGCATGAGCAAAAATTAGGCCTTTTTTTTTTATAACGCCCTCAATAGTTAATTTAATGAAGAAGGAGCAGTCTGCAGAATTAATTAGCTTCAGGCCTGGCACTGCAGTTGCAAAGGGTTAAGGACTCGCACTCGCGCTCTAGGTTGACTCTTACGTGCAGTCTGGTCTTTCGGTTACGGGTAAGAATTTACGTTAACGATCAGTCTGCTTTTTTCAGGTACTCACTGGAAAAGCTTTGAATTTCCACATAATTGCAAAGAGAAGGGCAGCCTCAGGCATGTTTGCCCCCAGAACTCTGTGGGGTCCGACGTCCGCTCTTCTCCCGCGCGAACTGTGGGTATGTCAGGTCAGCTCGCACATACGTATGTACAAGTACATACGTGTACAGTGTACATGTATGTACATGTATGATGTAGGCCTACCCCGTACCGGTACGTGTATGCATGGAGTGTATGTACATTTACAAGTCACATGCATTCATGCCAGAGCCAAGTAACGTGGACCCTACAATTTAAATCTCCTTTTTCAACATTTGGACATGGTTGGGCGATAGTAGGGTCCAATTACATACATGTACCTTCCATAGTCTTTTGCTTCCATTAATTCATTTCTAAGAGTTAACTTAAGTTTTATTAGGACATAAATTTTTTTTAGATGAGATATTTGACATATTTTTCCATTACAGAATGTCTGGATTCATACTATTTGGCACGAAAGTTTGTTCAAATTCAAAGTCTTTTGACAATTTTTTTTCCAAACTCAGGACCTTTTATTCAAGTTTCTCTTGTGTATTACGTTAGATATAACAAAGAAGAGAAATCAAAACACAGTCAATTCACATTAGACATTAATCCATTACACAGCAAAGAAAATTCAGAAGTACAAAAGAGATGCATCAAGGCTTCACTCTCAGTCTCAGCTTGACAAAAAGAACGCATATTATAATCTCTTTTACCAATTTCAAACAAGAGTTAATGGCCAAGATGCTGTGAGTGAGTCCGTTGAAACCACATGTGGCAATTGTAACTGAAAGGACAAACTGCATAACTCCAACCATTCAGTGAGAGGGAGATTACAAGCCAGCTTCATTTCTAATAATGTACAGTACATAGACAACCTTCATTGCAGAGGTAAGAATATAATACAACAGTAGAGCCCTTTTTATCTAGCATTTATGTAACTGCAAATTCAAAGGAATTAGAGGAAACCATACATGTACATGTATATTAGAGATGACCTGTTACAATGTGCTACAAAAGATTTTCTAACAGTATACATGTACATGTAACTCCGCTGTATTCCAAAAAGTTGATCCTGATGTCAAATTTTAGCATAAAGCTATCTAGGCTTAAGAAATGACCTTCGCTATCAAGCAGGTCACTTAAGAAATTAACTCCTTTTTTCATGCTTTTAGCCCAGTGCTTATAAAAAATTCATTTATTTCCAATCGCAATGCTATGGTTGAACAGTAGCACAAAGCATTTTCAACCACTTCCTTGAGAAGGGGCATGAACAAAATGATTTTGGGCTTTAAAAAGGTCAATCCCAAACTGATTTGAATACTTTACCTGCTGAAGAAAATACATGTAAGTGTAACTAAAATGACCACCTTCAATAAACAATACATTCGGAATATCACTAATCTTATAAAACACAGAATCCTGGCTGGAAATGTTGCTATTTAACAGTCTACAGATCCACGTACCAGTTTACATGTACGTGTAAGAGCTTCAATATATTTTTATAAACTTAAATCAACCGTCTTGACACTGCCATGTTTATAATCTTGAATCATCTGATTCCTACATGTAGGAACTCTGTCCACCCCTCCCCCGCTCCACATAAATATTTACAGCATAGCAATTAAATCCTTAATAATATCTGGGGGTGGATCTGGAAGAACCAAAATCAAAAAATATAAATTTGGATTTAAGGTACATGTACATGTAAGTGATTTAACAACTGTCTAACTGTGACTCTACCAAGAACCATTAAATTTTTCTTAGACCAATAATTGATTGAAGCAGCAGTGGCTTCAAGCACTCATTTATGATTGTCATGTTATCAAGATTAAGAGTAAAATCAATCCCCAGGGCTCTAAATCTATCCTCAGGGCCAACCCAATGAACATTAATACATGTATGCTCACAGAGGCATTTCTGACATCCCTTATTACCACCAATCTACACAGCATTAGTTTTATCTGTGTTTACTCTGAGACCAAAAACATTTCCAAAATCACCCGAAATCTTAAAAGCGCTCTCAAAAGACAGCTCTGCATTAAGAATACTGTTTCATCAGTGAACTGAGAAAGCCTACACTCTTTATCTTCTACTGAAATGCCCTTAAGAATGTTGTCATTATGAACAAGCGTGTACCCATAATTTCAGCACACAAAAGAAACAAATAAGGGCTCAAACCATTTTCCTTCATGACAACCCGGCTCCATCTTTAAACGATTCTGATAAAAACCCATTTACATGTACATGTACATGTACTAACACCGAGGCGGTCGCACTACTGCAAAGAACTTTGAACCATTCCTGAATAAATACATGTAGAGAGTCCAAACTTAAAGAGATCCAAGACTTAACTAATAAATTTGTGTGAGACTGACTCAAACACTTTCCCAAATCAGTCAACAAAAAGACACCAGGAACATTATTTTTCTCTATATAATTAAGAAAATTATCTCCCCGATATAGCGTCCCTGCAAAAAACCTTTTTGATTTTCATCTATAGATAATTGTGAAGAGGCAAGTTTTGAGTCTCTCTGAAATACAACTGGAAGCTAATTTATATGAAGTATTCAATAACGAAATTGGTCTCCAGTTCTTTAAGAACTCACAGGGTTTATCCCCTTTTGAAGCAAGGTAATGATACCGAGCTGTTGGGTGACTGAGTCTACCAATATCATACCCAAAACTGAGAGATTGTAGGAGAAACCATGATAAGTCAGAGAAAAAAAAATATAAATTCAAATGTAAAACCATCAGAACCTGGAGAATTACCATTTTTAGTATTCTTTAAAACTTTCAGTAGTTCCTCACAAGTCAACAGGCTGCTTATTTTTTCCCTAGTCAAATTTGAAAGAACTGGGGATTTACACTGTCGAAAATAGACGGAATAATGGTTGGTGTTTGTTCTGAATACGAGTGTGATTTCGAAATAATTTCTCCAGATCTCTGTAAATCAGTACCGTTTCCCTTAGCAATTCTGCTAATAATCCTATTATTAAAGTTACACTTCTCCAGATTCCAAAAATAATTCATTGGTTTCTTTCCATGCTCCATCCACTTTGTATGGGATCTAATCATAACACCATCCATTTTTGATTTACGCAAATTAACAAGACAAAGTTTTTTTTCATTCAGTGCACCACCAAACTGTTGTTACTACTGGCAATTCTATCTGACAAATCCTTAGTCTCAGTTTCAATCTTAGTCTCCCTTCTCACAAACTTTTCTTTTCTTCCAGACAGCGCAAGAAATCATCTTAGTCCTGATTTCCATCAAAAGCATTTCAAAAAATAGCTGGTCACTAATACCAAAATGTATATCCTTGGGATGCATACATGTACATCTTGTAAAAAGGAGCGAGAGTACAGTAAAGCAGCATAAGAATCAATCACCTCAAAAATAGTTTTTTTAACTAGATCAATCAATCTTTATCTGAGAGAAGTGAATCGTTAAATTTCCAGTAACCCCCTTTCCACTTTGATTAAAATCCAAACAAATGTCAACTAGATAATGATCTGTCCGGTACCCCGGATTAATACTAGTGCTTACTAGTGCAGATGTCTTAACCACTCGACCACCGAGCTTTCCTGTGTCAGCTGGCCGGTCTAAGTCAGGTGAAGCAGCAGGTACCGCGATATATTTCAAAATGTACCTGTATTTTTGCATTAAGCCGTCTGCAGTAGTAAGTAGGAGGTCGTGGGTTCGAGTCCCACCCGAGTAAGCTTGTGAATTTTTTCACAAGCTCTCGGACAAGCACTGAGCATACAGTGTTTATCAGTGGGTATTGCCCTTACCCAACGTATACATGTACATGTATATTAACATCTCCCCAACGCAAAAATACATCTTGAAAGAAGGGTTACCAAAATATAATTAATATTGACGGAACACAAAGGCCTCACCGCTTCAGCCAAAAATTTTTATCTGGTGGATTCCCAGTTTTCGAGTGCGTTCGATTAAGACAATGTTCTAGTTTATATGAATCTAGTTTTCATAATCGGGAAAACTTATTTTTAACAGATATTGATCAAATTTGGGAACACTCAATTTTTCCATGTGAAAAAATAATTGGGGGGTAATAAACTTGGTTAAAACCACATTTTTTATTACTTTTTTGAGGCAGGGCATGTTATAAATGTTACTGAAGAATACAACGATTAATGTAAGTTGGATTTGCCATGAAAACCTTCGTTTTTTATGCTCCGTTTCCTGGAAAGCAATGAACAAAGATGACGCTTCTCTTTGCAATCAGAGCATGTGAAATCAGACATACATGTAGCCTGTTGCTCTATATATGCTGTTAAGTGCAAAGTTTTCACTTACATGAATGGTCAGCTACCGGTAGGCTGGAGTGCTGTGTGACATCTCCAGGACATTAACATACAGTTCAAATTGCTTTTTGAACAAGATGGCGACTTTGAGCTCAATGACAACAGTGCTTCCAATTTGAAGGGGAAATTTCTCTCTTCTTCCCAAATGTAAGTAAACCTTATCATCACTATTGAAATCTCTGATTCTCACTCGATCCTGAGCTGGGTGCATTAAACAGTTTAAGGACCATTTTGGAGGTGAATTTGGAGGATTTTGATTGGGGGTTCGAGCTATTTGAATGAAATGAAGTACCGGTAATGGAAGCAAAAGTCTATGGAAGGTGCATAGATATACATGTATTTGGACCCTACTATCACCAGACCATGTCCAAAGGTTTAAAAAGGTGATTGTAGGGTCCAAGTTACTCAGACTAGGCCTAAGCCAGGTAGACGGAAAAGGAGGACATTCACCGTAGAATTATGTGCATCATACATGCATGTTAATTGTTATGCTTATAAAGTGTGCAGTACATACATGTATGTTTTTTATGTGTCATGAGCATAATAGGCATATGACGCACACGTACATGGCCTCCTTTTGGTCTTTTCGACCAACTCGTTCACCGACCA